GTCCTTTTCCATGATGGGAAGGGGTTAACTGCAGTTGCTACAGCTAATATGGTATGTCTGCTCCACTAGCTCCAGCTACCTTGGCATGTTCTGTGTTTAGGCTAACACAAAACTATAAAAAATATTATTTTCTTTTATTATTAATTTTCTTCCTTCCCATTTGTCTGTGAATTCTTCTTCTATGAGTTCTTAAGAATTGTTTATGCCAGAATATCCTGGGGAACAGCTGTAACCAAACTATTTTTCTGTGTGACGGAAAGCTGGGATCCAAACTCTCACCACCACTAACCTTTGTAGTTGTTATTACCTGGTATGAAAACTATTATGTCAGATACATCCTACTTTTCCCTGTTTACCTAAAAGCCTGTGATCTTGATGTAGATGCTACAAGGATCAGAGAAACAGAAGCCTAAGGGCTGGACTGGAGCTTTTGTCTCATACAAATCTTTGACTTCTCTTTGCTGCCACCTTCATGTTCAGGGGGGAGAAGGTGACTCTGTTCTATGTTATGGAGGGATGTGCTCCAGCTCTCATGTTGGCACCTTCCTCGTGTTGTCTGTCACACTTGCTGCTGCCTCTGAACTCTTCGGAACAGTGCTATAGAGCGGTTTCTTTCACTCCTTTGTTTCTGACAGGCTGAGACAAGTACTTTATGCAGCAACTCATGGTACCTTTGCTTCCTGCTCAATTTTTAACTATTGCTGTAACAGGACGTCCACAAATTAACGTTAATTGAGGATCTTCAGTTCTGGATCTAGACTCAGTGCATCAAACTCAGACCCAACATATAGATCAGGTGAGCAGATATCCTTCTTAAACCTGCCTGAGATTATCCAGGTGGAGCACTTCACTACAGTGGGAAAGGAGGCTTGTGATTGATGGAAAACAGGCATAGAACAGCAGGATGAAGGAGGTTGTGTTCTCCTTGGTGAACATAGCCAAGTCGCTGGGTCCCACTGTGGGTGAGAAGGCTTTCTTCATAGTTGGGGCGTGAATCAGACATTTATGGTGTGATTCAGTGCCCACTTAATGGTAACATGCATGAATTGTTATATGATTCATTTTCCTTCCATGAGTCTTAAGGGGGCCTGTTGATAGTTAACACAGATGCACTATTCTACTTCAGGTGTCTGCAACAGGTGGGATGAATCACACACCAGAGTCTGGGTCCAATGGGAAGATGACAAGGTCTGTTTGGAGATGTTTGATTTTGTCCTGTGTGACAGATAAGGTTTTATTTTGTTTTAGTTAGTTACTTTCTTAAGGAAAAAGAAACAGAGGAAAAATGAACATGTTTTGAAACCTTGCATTTGTCAGATATGAAGCTAGAAGGGAGCAGAGAATGTCCTGGACAGAAGTGTAGTCAGTATTCCTGACACATTCTTGTAAGAAAATCCAAAGAAAAGACCATTATTTTAGCAGTTAATTTGGGACAGCCAAGTAGAAGAAAGCCCTGCAGTTAAGGCAGCTTGTTAACAGGGTAGGGACTGGGAGCTCTGGCATTCAGAGAGTCACCAAAATAAAAGATGTGCAACTTCTTTCCTTGGCTTCATGTAGCCAGGCACAGGCAGGGCTCAGGGCAGAGATGGAACAACTTTCATCTTTGTAGCGGGCTCCTCTGGGTAAAGACAGGTAGGAGATGATGGGGGTATTGATAAAAGTCTTGCTCTTTTTCTATTTGGAACATAAATTTTTAGATGTCAAGGTTTTTCACTAACACCAGGGTGTTTAAAAAGCATAGACTTTGAGAAAAGACTTGAAAATGAATCTGTATTGTAAAATGGATTTGTCATCACTCACTGCACTTGGTGTTCTTTGGTTGAGAAAATTAGTGTTATCCTCAGCCAAAATTCAAATACTGTTAAAAAATGTGTGGAGTAAACGTGCCTAACGCTGAAATGTTAACATTTTTGTGGGATTTTCTTTTTAGACATATAGTAATTTAGGAGAATGAGGCACAAGAGGGTAAGAAATTGAGGATATAATTTAGGGAACATAAGTTTTGTCTCATTCTTAATCAATGAAAGCCACTTTTGTCTGGTGGCACACTGTCCTGTTTTCCAAAGAACTGCAGAAAAGCACCTGCTCTCTCCTAAAAAGATCAGACTGCTCACACACAGCCACCATGCCACACTTCATTGCCATCTCAAAATAGGTGGCACATCTTCTTTGAGCACTGTGAGAATACAAGGGAAAACCAAAAACCCCCAAAATCTCTCTCCCCACCCCACCCCACACCCCCCCCAAAAAAAAGAAAAAAAAAGAGGAAATTAATTTGAGGTGTGCTGGGTGTAGCGCAGCACCTGTTGAATTTAGGAGCACAGAGCTCCTAAATTTAGGAGCCAGCTTTGGCTGGCAGCAGGGACACAGTGGCCTGAGGTAGCTGGGGGTCCTGCTGGACACAGCTGTGCCCGTGCTCAATCCCTGCTGCTTTCTGCCATCTAGTGGTTTAGTGGTTAGTGAAACTTTTCTGCCGAGCTAAACTAACATTTAAACTAACATTTAAAAAAAAAAAAAAAAATCAGAAGAGAGGCAGGATGCAGCATGCTCTGGGGGAAAGACAAGCGAGGCACGACGAGCATTCTGCCCTCTCTTAGCCAAGTGAAAACAACGCTCCTGCATCCTCGGGTCTGAGCTCTCTTTTCCAGAACATGGCCGGGTAGCACCGGTTTTTCTTCCTGATTTTGCTGATCCCAGCCTCATCTAGACTGAAAAGTACTTCAACATCTCACTTTTGGAATTAGCTAAACAACTAAGCTTCCAATTTTTTATTTTTATAATAATTATTATTATTTTATTTTTGGTGAGTCTTTACCCTCACTTAACTGTTTGGAAACAACTATTAGGTTAGTCTGGTGCCCAAGCAGTGGCATTGTGCCACTGAGTGCTGCCTACTCACCAGATGCTTTATATACAGAAAGAAATCCTGACCAGCTCCAATCTTCAGGGAAGGTTGCAAGCCTTGTCAGGTTATCAGGATTTTTATTACTGCACTGTAAGAACAGTTCCAAGAGGAAGTAGAGTGCTTTGACTCATTCATCCAAAATTTCCATCCATATAGAAAATGAAAAACAATATTGTGTTTTAAAAGTCTGGTACTTTCCACCTTACCCTTTGTGGTAATGAGATAAAGTAAAAACAGGAGATTGATGTGTCTTTATTACTTACATCCTCTTCCTCTCCCACCTGCCCTCTTCCCCAGGACAATCACCACATACCTCGCAGCAGAGGTGCGGAAAAGCAGATGATTTCCCCTGCCTGCCTCAGGGGCAGGGGGCAGGGGGCTCCCTGGGTGGTAGGGCAGGTCCTGGCTGCCCCGGGCATCAGGTGCCTTCCTAGGGCCAGGGCATCAGCCCCTGAGTGGGGTCAGCACCTAGGTGCTCAAGCTAGAGGTGGTTAGTGAATCCTCCAGGAGGTGGGGAAGATGTGGATTGCACAACCTGTTCTAGGGCCTCACCGCTCTCAGAGTAAAGAATTGCTTCCTAATGTCTAATCTAAATCTACCCTCTTTTAGTTTAAAGCTGTTACTCCTTTTCTTATCGCTGCTATATTTGCATGCAGACTCAGCACTGAAAGAGCTCAGTTAAATATTTGGCCTAATCGGAATGTGTTTATCTGTTTTCCAAGATAAAAAGATATTATGTCACCTCTGCAGGGGAAGGAAGAAGGTATGGTGCTGGCTCCTCTTTCCAGTCTCTGCAGTAGGTATTAGCAGGCATGTCGAGGCTCAGGATTATCATGACTCCTGCCAAAATCAATGTATAATTTGAAAATTAATTTTTATATGTGTAAAGAGCCTATACTTCCCTTAATATTATGACCTTATAACTGACTTTATAATGCTATGGTCAAAGCTTGCTAACCTGTCTGTTTTCTGGAGCAAGAATGCTGTTTCCAAATCAATGAACTCACAATCTTTTCTCTAGCACAGGGCACAACTTTATTGTTGTTGTTGTTCTTGTTATTATTATTATTATTACTATTATTATTTTCTCAAATAAGGAATTATTTGAAAACGGTGTTGCTGATTTAGAAAAGTAGAATCCTCCAGGGTGTTGACTCTGCTTTTTCAATCATTGTGCCTCAAGAAAGATGTCAACCAATTCGAGAGAGCAGAGAGAACAAAAGCAAGACTGTTGGTGGGTCTGTTGAAAGATTTGAGGTCATTCAGTCTAGTGTGAGATGTGATGTCTTCAAATATACAAATGCACACCTGTAAAGAGAGTAGGAGAAAATGTTCTCCATTTCCACTTGACACAGAGTAGGAAGTAATGGTTCTAGGTTCATGGAAGGATGTCTAGGCTAAATGATAGGAAAAGCTTCTATTTGTAGTCATTATAAAATGCTGGAATAGAAATCAAGGTGCTGGAAATTGAGGCCCTTCCAGCCTGGACCATAAGTCCTATGAGGAGCGGCTGAGGGAATTGGGGTTGTTTAGTCTGGAGAAGGGGAGGCTCAGGGGAGACCTCATTGCTCTCTACAACTACCTGAAAGGAAGGTGTGGGGAGCTAGGGGTTGACCTCTTCTCGCAGGTAACGGCTTTCAGTATTGTGATCTTGCCTCAGGTTATGTTGTCCTTCCCAACCAGCTTTCTCTTTCCTTTTACTCTGCAAAAGTCATTTCTTTAATTTTCTAGACAGGAAAGGCAGAGGGCTGATAAGCACCCAGCATGTACTTATAAAGTTCACTCCCGATGAAGTGCAGACTGGACCCGTGGGGTGGCCAGAGGGCCCTATCTAAGTGAGATCTGTGATCTTAAGTATAGCTCTGCGTGGCTTTGTCAAGAGTACACGTACCATATTAGAGCCAAACATGGGAGTGTATGGCTCTCAAGAAGGCAGTTCTGTTTCATTATTGGAACTAAGACAGAAATTGTCTGACTTCCAAGCAGTTAACACATTTCCTTTATAAGAAATGGGTGCATTTTTGTACAGCATGTTGGGAAATGTGTTCCAAAGGCTACTTCAGGGTTGACCTATGTTTCTTCTCTTTCTTACTAGGAAAAAAGTTCCCAGGGCCTTCTCTGCTAGTGACAGATGCTGAAGTGCTAATTCTGATACCGGGTATCCTCTTGCCAACAGACCAGTGCTGCAAAACTCTTCAAAAGAAGAAAAAATGAAGCCACCTGAACCAGTTAAAATCTCTCCCTGTGAATTTCTCAGCTTGTACAGTGCAGTGGAAATCTGCACTTCAGCATGGAAATCTGCACTTCAGCATGGAAATCTGCACTTCAGCAAGGGCTGCACCACTTGGAGATTTTTGCAAAGGAATGTGATGTCCCCAGGATTTCAGGGTTGAGTTTTTGCTCTGCTTTTGTTCACTTCCATTCTGAATTTGCTTTTTGGCACCCTATCCCTTAATTTAAGATCAGCCAATTACTTTCACAGTTTTGTCTTGTCTCTGTCTTGTCTTTTGTTTCACTTTCATGGGATTAGAGCTCTGAAGCCCTTACAAGAAAGAAGAAACACCACCCTGGAACATGAGGGCCTCGTGTGGGCACTGAGAGCTGTTTTTACTCAACCTTTGTTTCGTCAAGAAAAGTAGGTGTATAAAATCAAAGCACATGTTGCTTCCCATCACATGCTTACATGTGAGACCACTTAAAGCCTGTTGCCAGACAGGCAGAGAAGAGGAAGCCAGTAGATCACTGGGTTTTTCAGCCCCTGAGAGAGATAACCAACCACTGTGTGCAACCGTGAGGTCCCCGGCTGGGGAGCTCATCGTGATTCTGTAACCACAAATTATGTAAGGTGTGCTTTTGCCTCTTACTCTTGTACTGTGCTAGAGGCTGCTGCTGTAGTTATCTTTTAAATGCAAATTTCTTGAGAAAATAGGGGTCTACTGAAGTTAGTGCTTCCAGAAAACCACAGCTGTCAGTGATTAGGGCATAGACAAAGGGAGTAATTTATTTTTTATTTTTATTTTATTAAATCTAGATGAGATGACATTTCCAAAAGATTCTGGGCCTCTGCAGAATTTGTGAAAATACAGCAAAGTGAGGCTAAATCCCTAATATGAACTTTAAGTAATATATTTCTTGGTATTAGCAGCTTGAAAAAGGAGAAAAAAATAGCAGAAGCCACCTCTGCTTCACCATCCTTCCCATAATCCAGAAATAGTAGAAAGTAGGTGAATTTCTCAGTACACATGAAGTTGACAAGCAGATCTCTCTTACCAAGGTAGAAATTGTTGTAGAATAGGTTACTTGAGAAAAAGCAAGCATAATCCATTAAACCTCTGAGACTGCATCCAGAAATCTGAGTAGTGACTTTATGGATTATCTTGGGCCCTATTTGAAGAATAGTTGTCTGTAAAACTTAAACATCTATTCACCATCTAGTGCCAGGCGAAGTAGCTCCATAGCTTCTGGTCATGGTGAGTCCTTTTGTGTTAGGTATAGGTCTGGTTCTTTGTGAACAGAAAGTGAACGGTGCTGAGACCTGAAGAAATGTGGTCACAGTTGCAGGTCTCAGTCATCAGATACATGTTGGTGCATCTGGCTATGTGTAGAAATGCTACATAGGCAGTACGTGTGCCTTCCTACCGATACTGCCCCAACTGGGAGAGGGCAAGTAGTCTACAGAAGATATCATTAGCCACAGTTTCAGATGGAGAGATAGATAGAAGGTTGTTTACGAGGGCTGTATTAGCCAAGGCAGCTTGATTTTTAGGAAGTGTTGGGTCTTAGGGCATTCAACCACAATTTCTTGCTGGGATATACGGGAGAGTTTATGTGTTAGTTACTGTCAGTTTCTAACCACAGTATTATGAAGTTCCTTTTTGTAATGTATTTGTTGAACATGCCTGCCTCTGACTACTTTTCCCCCTTCCAAAGGTGCAGAGTGAAAGCTGAGCATGTGATTCACGATCAGAGGGAAGGCTTTTGTCTCAGCGGTGGTGGTGGCTGAGCTGCAGCAAATGGCACAGCACTGGTGTTGAGTGGAGTCCCAGAAACACTACGCACAGAGACATGTAGTAAGTAATGCATATGAATTGGCTCATCTAGGAAATCTCACCTTAAAAGAGAGTCTGTGAATAAAGGTCACTTGATGAAAACCTAGCTGCCACAGCACTAGCTCTAGGCAGCAAAGTGCTACTTTTGAGTTGATGCAAAATGATCAGTCTCAGGTTCTCAGCTGGCTGACATCTCATGCCAAGCACATTCTACATGTATACTCCGAACTTGGACAGTTGACCAAGCAAGTCTCCTCTCAACACAAAGACTAAAATTAATGACACAAAACTTGTATAATTAACTCTACAGGTTCATTATAACATGAAGTCCTCTGTCTCACAGGCCAAGATTCATAATAGTTAAAAGGTCAGTCTCTTAATGATGTTTCCAATATTGATTTTCCATTTCTTTATCTATGTTACAGTAACTATGGCAGCAGTATTCTATTTGTGGATCCCTGGAGATGTGTGTGCACATTGGGAAGGGAGAAAGCAGAATAGGACTTTGGGTTTCAGGCTAGGTAGTAAATTACAGTGGTTTGGAACTTAAAGGGCATAGTAAGATCACTTGTGTGAAACTGAAAGGGTATGAGTGCAGTAGATTCACACAGATGACATACCACTGGCCTGTGTGAATGGAAACCATCCAGCCTTACTTGGTTCCTAGGCATTTCCTTTTCATTATGTGAGCAGGAACTGCACATGAGCACACATGAGCAGGCCTGCCTCGGGTGTAGGGTTTTGTTTGTTTGTTTGTTTTTGAAAAATACTAGTCACCACTTAAAACTCACTCAAAAATGAGGGTTCTTAACCTCACAAATTCTTGCCTGTACTGAGGGACATGCAGTTGCTTACAGAATCACAGAATCACAGAATTTCTAGGTTGGAAGAGACCTCAAGATCATCGAGTCCAACCTCTGACCTAACACTAACAGTCCCCACTAAACCATATCCCTAAGCTCTACATCTAAATGTCTTTTAAAGACTTCCAGGGATGGTGACTCCACCACTTCCCTGGGCAGCCTTACATCTCAAGCTCAATAGAAAACTGCTGTCCGCTAGGTGCTGGTGGTTCTCCTTAGCGATCCTTTTTTGTGCATCCCTTCAGGTATGCTTTTCCTGCTCTGTTTTCCCCCGAGATCTGCTCCTGTCTCTCATCCCTCACCACTGCCTGTGGTTCCCATTTGCCTGGGCTGGTGTTTGTTGATCTGAAACAGAGTAGGGAAACAGATCTATGGAGGCTGTGGAATGGGGAACCCACTGCAGAGAGCAGGCTGGGGAACAGGCCAGGCGTGGAAATGGATGTTTGCCTCTCCCCTCAGCCTGGTTGTGCACCCAGCCTGGTGGTGTGGCCTGGTGCCAGGGCTCAGCCCTGTGCTTGTGTGCCCTGTTTCCCCTTAAGACACAGATTATAGGGAGACCCAGGGAATGTTAGCAGTGGATTTTGGGAAGATCCCATATGCAAGATTATGCCTTTTATGCAGAGATGCAAACTTCATCTTTCAAGTAGTTTTAGCTGTACCACTTCCTTCTGCACACTCCTCACTGCTTGTGCACCTTATTATACAAAATGGAGGGCAGAATATTGTGGAGGTGTAGGGGAGAAATATTTCAAAACAGGTAATTGGAGAAGCAAGGCTTGGCAAACTGTTGCTTGATCTAGCAGTATGGCAAAGTTTGTTGTTTGCCAGAAGCAGTCCCATCTCATAGATCCATAGATCTTTGGGGCCCAAGAGTAGGGAAATGAATAAACCTGACACTGTTTTATATATATATATATATGTATTTTTTTTCTTAGAAGCAAGAGTCTTTGAGGGAATAACTGGAGAAAATGAAACTAGAAGGGTTGGTGTGTTTTACAGTCTAAGAACCCATTTGTTCCATCTGTGCTTGTAAGAGACTTATGTACTGTGCAGCCTTGCTTGGGAGAGAGTAACCAGGCAGTGCAGCTGCATGTTTCTCCCCTGCAGGAAAAGGTCAATGGATCATGATGAAGAGCAGTAACATGCACTTACAGTCCTTCAGCTCCGCAGACTTTGCTATTTTCCTTCCATGCTTGTGTGTGGGTGTAACAGAGCAGAACAGCTTTGTGTTCTTTGGGCTTCCTGTGTGACTATACCTGCACCGTGTATTTGGTGCAAAAATAGAAAAGGGAAGTCAAGAAGTAGAAAATTATCTGGTGTAGGCTGGATGCCCTTGGGCTACATCTTAGGGAGGCTGCACAGGTGCTGTACATCCCCCACAGAATGCATCCCATGCCTGTTTGCTTTCTTCAACAGGTTATAGTGGTCATGTGGATGATTTAACACTGGTATTGGCTTCTTTCAGTCACACACTGAGCACATGCAACAAGTAGTGAGACTGCACTGCTTCCACTGGCGTCCTGCCCTGTCAGTAGGATGCTACTCCAGAAAATTCGAAGGCCATCCACTGACCCTTAGCACAACTGTTGTTAGGTGTCATGTCTCAAATGTAACCGTTGTGTTTCTGAGAGGTAGACTAGATGATTAAGATGAACATGAAAATTCTTGACTGAAAGGGTACACAGAAATTCGTGACTGAAATGGTAGATGGTTTCAGTCAACACCTCTTGCTTCCCTCCTTCAAAAGACAGACTCTCGATGTATTTGCTTAAAAAAAAAAAAAAAGAACCTACCACAGACTCCTGTGCTTTGCTTTTCTATGCTAGCACATTTTATGGTAAGGTGGTAAGGTGCTTCCTGTTTATCTACAAAAATCTCATCTCCCAAATCAAACCTGACTCTCTGGGGACCTCTTCTTAAGCCATGCCTTGCTCTAAGGGTAAAACGTGTCACGTTCAGATCTCACTAGCATTGCAGCTGGGGGTTGTGCAGTACTTCTCATGCATGCACTCAGTCTCATTGTAGCTCTTGGTCACCAGGGCGTCATCCTGGGGCTGCTCTGAGCAGAGCTGCTGATGCTTTTGGCTGGCTGGGGTGACAGAGGGAAAGCTGTGTGTGCCCGGGTGAATGCACCTCAGAGCTGGCTGGGAAGTCACACAGATAACCTGCCTGTAACCCAGCACCCCTTCATCTCTCAGAGGGACTTTGGACTCTTCTCTCTATGTACTATGGTATGAGCGGAGTATTTATATTGCAAAACATCCGTGAGAAACATATGGTTTCACTTGTACTTGTTCCTGAAAGGATGGCCTTTTCCCTTTCTGCCTTCAAGGCCAGTGTCCAGGTCATAGAAAGAAATTAGAGAAGTTTGATGCCTTTTGCTGAGGCTTTCTCTTCACTGAATGGCAGTCCGTGTTTTTCAGTTTAAGACCACTGACGTAGAAGCTCTTTCAGAGAGACAGTTTCTTTGTATTCTGAAATCTATAAAAAATATTGTTGCCTCTATCAGCTGAGAAATAAATGCAATTAACTATTTCATATGTAAGCTAATGAATTTTTCTAGGAGATAATTTTCCACACTTTTTTTTTTTTTTAATGAGGTTTATCAGTGATTTATTGGATTGATAAGTTATATATTAAAAAAAAAAAGTCAACATACCTTGTGGCCTGAACTAATTACCAGTGCAGAAATCCATTGATTTTTCTCCACACAGATACCATGATTGGGTTTGGAGGAGATGGAGGGGGATGAAGTACAAGTGAGTCATAAGCATAGTAAACCATCTAAATTATCCATATACCAGGGTTAATGTGTATCTGATAACAGCTTTGGTGTTAGCTGGAACTGTACCAAGGTAAATTATGAAGACAGAGGAGCCTGACTTTCTTCTACTAAGTTTAGCACAAATTATCTGGTGTGTTATGTGCACCCTGAGGACTGGTATATCCTTTTTTTTCAACTGTGGTCTAAATTTTTAACCAGTTTGAAGACTGCCCATTTGCTTCTGTAAACCTCTTGGTGCCAACATTGCTAAGAGTAATTTTTCAGAGCATTATTTTGCAGGAAGAGATGTGTGGTATCCAAGCTCTAGCTGCACAGTGCTGCAAAAGAAGGGTGTGAGCATTCTTCTCAAACTTCAAATGGTGCTTTGGCATTTATATCCTTTTTATCTTCTTTCCAATGAACCTGAGCATGAAATATAATGATATTCTTCTGCCAGTGCTGGGTGGCAAGCTAAGTGTGACACAGTTGCACACAGCTACTAGTGAACAGAAGTTTTTGATTTTGGCTGTAGTCGGTCACTGCTCATCATTTATTTACTTTGATTCATCACGGACAAAAGCAATATGCATTAACTTAACTAACCAATCATCGCACCAATAGCAAAAAAAAAGAGAACACTGCATTTTGACATTTTGTCGCACATCTTCTGACTTCTTTGTAAAAGGAAAACAACATTTTCCTCCTCCTGTTCCCCATGAGAAACAAGCAAACGAGTGTTAACAAGATTTTGGTTAATATGAAGATTAGACATTCATGGTGTTCAGAGAATTTTTCAGGGAGAAAAACTGGAATGAAGTTTCTAAGTATCTTAGTTTCTAAGATAATCATCTTGGGATGATTATCTTAGAAACTCAGGAAAAAAAAATGTCCCACACACATGCTTAGCATTTACTTGGGAGGAATTAATCTGTCTCAGTGTTGTCTTCCTCATGGATTCATTTTACATGTTTATATCCTAGGAAAAACCTCCTCTTCTCCTTTGTCTATTTTCAAACCACAACCAAATCAAGGTCACACTAGAAGCAGAGTCCTGAACAAAGGAAGAATGAAAAAGTTGACTGTTTCTTTTTATTCGCCCCTTTAAGAGACAAATACACAATGGAAATACCCACCTATTCACACAGCATGGACTGTATTTTGAATTCCGGTATGTAGCAGGGAGCATCCACAGGTTCTTCTAAACAAAAAGGAAGTTTTCCTGGGAGATAAAGGAACAGCATCCTGGAGGGAAGCTAGATCTGAGACAGCATGCAAAATGGTAGTCTGGAGAAGTCCTTGTTATATTTATTTATTTACATTAATGGAGGCATATTCTGTAAATTCATTTTCTACAGACAGTTCCCTTCTCTGGCATTTTTCTGCAGAAGCAGAATGATCTAGTGTAGCATATATGAGGACATCTGGGCTTTCAGGTGAAGCTGGGATGGAAGGATCATTAGGTGCATTAGGTACTGTCCTCTTAGCATTCCAGCGAGGAACATCATTGTCATAAATTGTGTTGGCATACAAGAGCTGCTGTGGGCTAGCCATGGAGCAGTAAAGCAAAGAGCTTTCATCTGAAGCTTGAGTTGTCCCAGCAGTGTGGGATGGAACAGCTGCTGGACTTCTGACCTGTGAAAAGCAGAACAGGGTATAGCTCTGTGCGTATCTGGTTATTGCTTGTGCTCCTGCTAAATAGGGGGCATATAAATTTTACTCTTTTTTTTTGTGTCCCTTTAAAACTGCTTTTGAACTCAGGTGCATTGGACTCATCTGATCATTGGATTTTCTGCTGATCTTTGAAATAAGTTATAAACCACATGTATCTCTAGCCTTTCTCCATTTCCCTTCCCAAATTCAGTCATGTCTTTCCTTGCCTGATTTCAACTTAAGGAAAAACTGGTTTATCCTTGTGAGAGCACTTCTGTACCACTCATTAAGGCTTTTCCTTCCAGTCCTATTAACTCTTATTTACTTTCACCTACAAATACCAAACTATCTTATCCTGATTACACCCATTCTCCCATTTCCTGATCTCTTGCCTCTTATCCTCTTTGTCTTGTTACTCTCCAAGTAAATCTTTCTCCTTCTCCCAAAATCTGCAAATTCCTCCATAAATTCATCTCTCTCTAAAGAAATCCTCTTTGACATCCATTTTTCTAACCACTTAGAATCTTCTGCTTTTAATTTCCTTTCTCCCACCTCTCCCTTTGGGAGCTCTGCAATCTGTTTGGTGGCCTTCAATCCCTGCCAATACTTCCCTTGTGACTGATAGCTGTCAGCTCCTGTGGCATCTTTCATGTTCTGCCTTCTGCCCATTTAATTTCTCTAGAACTGTTTACAAGAGCTGAGTGAGTTGATGTTAGCAACACAGGAAATTCTTTTCAATCATTTTCCTTACTCTGTGCATCATTTGTCTTATGCAGACAGTCAAAACCAGGTCAACAGAGGTACATCAACAGATGTACATAAATTCTTACTGGAACGGGCCTACAAATTAATACATTTTAACAGGAGTTTAGATGCTTACAGTACTTTTGTGGATACAACTCTCAATTCCTTCCTTCAGCTCAACCAAGGGGATATCTCACACCAGGGAAGTCATTCTGTACAGGCACCAAGAGGGTCACTAAATCTGTCCCTCATCCTACTCCACATTTTATAGTACACAAAGATTTGTTCTCAGTATATGATTATGCAGTTTCAGGTTTCAGTAATGGCAAAATTTAAACATACCAGGCTCTCTAGTCTCTGCGGTGTCAATGGAGTTCTCTTTTGCTTTGCTAAGAAGAAGAAAAAAAGAAGGATGTTTCAATAAATAAGCATTGAGATGATGCCTTTCTGCTCATGGAAAGAGTATTAACTAGTAAAGCAGTCCTTCCCTTATTGAGTGCACCTCAAAGAATAAAAATCTATTTCCAAACTGGATTTAGGAATTGCTGTTCTGATAAAAACAAATCAAAATAAAACAATATGTTTTTAGAATGCATTTCTGTGCTCCTCAGAGCTTCTCTGAAGAGGAATAGAGAAATTTCCAGTGTACTTCTGGCTAGTTTTCTCTCTATTCAGTGAAAAGGCATGGAAAAATCACCAAGCCATCCTTATAAGAAAACATGCTAATTTTTTTGCAAGAGGAAATAATTTCATTTTCCTAAAATAAAATAATCCATCGGATTATAATAGGCAAATAATTACTTAATTTAAGACATGTGAAACTCCAAAATCGACTCTTGATTTAGAGTATGGAAGCTGTGTAAGAGTTCCCATAAAACAGGAGCGATTAATACTGTAACAAGTTCATACTTCAGAAAGAAAAGTAGAAATATAGAAAAGTAACTGGATAGAACTTGATTGCATTTATATGGTTAACAGTCCTATTTATGTCTAAGTTGGTGTTCAAAAAATGGTAAAAAGAATTCCAATTATTATGAAGTCTGAGTATTTGATTTGTTCTCACTTTACTTCCATTCCTGGTCTCTCTGGAAGGGAACAATACTTAGGACAAATTATTTTTAAAAAAATTCAGTACCCTTAACTGGTGCACTTGACAAAGACATCTCAGAAATTAAATGGGGTAATTACTAGGGGATTACAGTAGAGCTTTGAATGGAACTTTAAACTGTGAAAAAAAGTGTGATAAAATACAAACTAAAAAAAATTATATGGTAAAATTCCTCACCATGGTGCCTTCTGAGACATGAAAACATGCATATGAAGATGAATGGACAACATAGACCCACGGATACTGAAGAATAAATAATGTGCAATATCTTGTTTTTTCCAGGTTCTTGGGACTCTTCTGATATACTAGTGGTATCTAAAATTGCATTAACATGTATTAGCATAAAATAATAGAATAATATTTAACTTTTTTTTTTTTTCAGCATTTCTTCTTTCTGATGCAACTGACTTCTTAATATAACTAAAGCACTCTGTAGTTTGGAACAGCAATCAGTTCACAGGATAACCATCTTCGTTGGTATATTACCAAGCATGAAGGTACTGGAAGGAAAAGTGCATGGAAAGTGTCATTGAAAAATGATGCATGGCGCAAGGCTGGCAGAAACAAAGGATCAGAATTAAAGCACTGCTCTAAACTTCCAATATATTTTAACGTTATGGTCTGTCTTCTTTTTCTGTAGTCTTTGCACTGTAAACAACAGCAAGAACAAAAATAAGAAGCTTTTTGACAAGTTTGTATCAACTGTGATGAAAATATGTGATGATCAAGCCTAGAAATGAATGCTGTTATAGTATACACCCATGGCATCATTCAGCAAATAAATCATCTTTATCAGGGGAAATGCATTAGAATGTAGGAACTGTCCTTGTATCCTACACGTGGGAATGAAAACGGTGTGAGAAAGGTATTGATAGTCATATGACTAATTTATGTTACTGCACTTTCTTACAAATAAGGATTCTTGATGCACAGTTTTGAGGTTTGCTGCCTTCTGATGCAGGAAATGCAGAAAGAACATGACAGAACAGACAGAGCAGATGAACCCTATATGGGCTTGAGTTGCTGTTCACAGTAATTGTACTGGGAACAATAACCAACTGTGAGTAAAAAAACATACTTCAAGGTATGTTAAAGTGGTGGTGTACTGTGATTCCTAATGTTCTGTAAGTATAAGCCATATGTGTCACTGGGGTATTAAAGAGCATGTTGGAAGTATAGATTACCACAGCAGGAGGTAATTTAATTGTCTTTGTCACTGCTATCTGCTGGACAGTTGTGGGCTTGAAAACTGTGACACTTGAGAGACTGTATTTAGTTCAAGCAGGAAGAAAGCAATGGTTCTTCAGCAATGAGTTTTGATTTGTCCTGACTATGTAAAACAACCTACTTAGGAAATTTATAGCAACACAAATTGTTTCCCTCCTCTTGAAAAGGAAATAAGAATCAGAACTTACTTTCTGATGAAGTTGTGATAATGTTCTCAGACTTTTCTGAAAGCAAGAAAAAAAAAGAAAGACAGGGAAATGAAACAGCAACTTGATATTTTGCTCTGCAGTTGTGTACTCTGCACCACACACTGAAGTCTCGACAAACCTCTCCTTCAGCTTGATGGTGGAAGAGGGAACAAAATCCAGCAAAGGGTGCAGTATTTTGAGAGAAGAGGAATGAAGTGCTGGTCTTCCACAGCTGACAGAGCAGTTCTGTGTTTCAGACCTCTGGCATTCAAATAAATAGAACAAGAGAAGAAATATTTTGCAAATGCTTGATTACATCACTTATTCATGGAATGGTATTTGTGAATATACCATTCTGTAGTCACTCAAGGATGTCTTCTGCTCTTCTCACATCCAAGGAAAACCTGTATCATGTTATTTGGGGAAATACTGTGTCTGCTACCACATTACAACCATAAATTTTGACATTGCTCCCTTTGCTACAGCATTTCCTGTGTCAATAAACAAGGTATTAAAGTCCATGAACTTACCAGGAGAGGAACTAGCAACAGAACAATTTCATAACTCAGCTACCTGGGGTCAATAGGACACCATAGCTGCACAGACCACTTTATAGCTGCAAAGCAATATTGAGGAGGGCATACATGGCTTGCCATAATCTAGACTTGGCATCCCAACTGCCTAAATTCATAGGAATGTCTGTCTTGCCCTTAAATCCTTAAGAGCATTTAAAGGTACTGTGATCTTTCCCGCTCTTGAACTTCTTGGGTACAAAACTATACTTTATTACTCTGTGCACAGATTATTCTAAGCAAGAGGCTTGAATTTCTATGTCCTCTTTGCTGTTGTGTGGCATTGCCAACTATGAATACATGACCATTTGTATCCTGTCTAGTCCTTATAACACATAACCAGTCTTTCTTTGCTCCAACTAATATTTTTAAATAATCAAATAGTTCACTAATGGCCATTAGCTGTCAGCAGCTTTGCTTTTCTCTTCCAGATCCTCCTTTTATTTCTTTATTTTGTTCTTTCCCCAGCACCGAGAAGCAAGATAGAAGCATGAAGAATGTGGTAAGTACCAGCACAACTGATCTTGTGCTATTCCTACGACACCAGACAAACTTGTTCGGAGAAGCCATCGTGCAGCATGAGTGAACTTTCCTGTACATGGAATCCATTTGTTTAAAAGGGCTCTTTAGTAACACAGGGGCCTCACCTTCAACAATAACCTTTATTTCATTGCTCTCGCTGAAGAAGTTGCCTGTTACTGCTTGACAGCGATACATCCCGCTATCATTCTGGTGAATGGCGAAAAACTTCAGAATAAACACAGTGGAATTCCATTCTGCTTTGCTGTTATCCAGCGGCACACATTCATGCGCCTCTATCTTGCACCACTGGATGAAGGGTCTTTCCTTGCAGTAATGGACTGGACAGTATATGATCAAGGAGTTACCAATATTAGTTACGTATTCAGAGTTTCTTTGAACTTGAATTTCTACTGGACAGTCACTGGCATCAAATCCTATAAAAGAAGAAAAATATGAGAAAAATCATAGTGGTGGTGGGGTCTGTTATATGCTCTCCATGACACTGATCAGTTTCTTTTCTCTCTCAGTATGCAAGACTTCTCTTATCCACTTTCAGATCTTATCTCTGTATGGGATGCTCATTGCAGATAAATCAAGACTTCTTGGTTCCTTCATTTTTAGGAAGATTGTTAAAATCCACTTTATTTGTCCAATATAAATATCAGTCTATATCTCAGCTAACTCTGAAATTGAAGTTTGGAGAGAAAAAATGTAATATATACCGAAGAAGGTTTTCCTGTCATCCTTCTCAAAGATCTTTTCTGTTATTTTAGATTTATTTCAGGTTATTGTTTACTTCACAGTTCTTGATAATTTGCAAAAGTAAAGGGTTCTTTTTGTTTGGTTGGTTGGTTTTGGTAGTGATATGTCATAACTGAAATAATGAAAATAATTATAAATATATCCTCTCTCTGTTTCTTCACTTTTGTAAAAGTTTGTTAAACTCGGTGTTCAAACTCTGGTATGTCACCTTTACTCTGGGTCTTAGTATTGAAAGTCTGGAGCTTTTATTAAAGATTTATGTTTCTTGTAGTGCTTGATTTCTTTGGATAAGTAGAAGTAATAAAAACTATGTGATATCCAAGAGCTCCCTATCATCAGAGTGCTTGTGCACTGAAGAGAGTGATTGCTAGCAACTCTAGAGCAAGAAATAGTAGGTGTGTCTGTATCTTCCAATTGGTAGAGGGGAGTGGAAAAAACAGTAAAGATTTTTAAGGAAAGTTTCGTAGGTAGGAGAAAGGCGTATGGGAGGAAATAGCAGTGTGGAGAAGGGAAGGATCTGTCTGTCAGCAGCCAGTGCTGTTTCAAGGGACGGAGCCTCTGGGCCCCAAGGTGGCATCTAACTGTGATGACAAATGGCTCAGGAAGACTGTCTCACCTGCAATGCCAGAAAGGATTTTTATACAAGTGGTGCAGCAATTCTTGTGAATACCTGGGTGGTATATTTAAGAACTTGGGAAAGTCATATTAAAAATCTTTGATCAGATGACCTCTACTTTGCGAGCCCTTTTGCTAAAAATCTCAGACTATTCCACACCAGAAATAAATTTTAGAGCATTCAGTAATAGCGAGTTTTGAGCAGAAATGTATTAATAGCGTTCACAGTAGGATAGCTAGCACTTTGCTGCTGTTGGTCAGCATTTAGCAAATTCTCTGCATTCACTTACAACAGGGTACTTTATCCCATGAACTCAGATGAACATTAGTTTTGTGGATAACTGGAAAGCAACATGTCTTGTGGATGTTACCTATTGCTCTAAAGCATTCCAGTTTTCCCAAATATCTATACCAACATTTGCCACGATTTTATTCCTTCATCAGCTGGTCGTGATTATTCACCATGCTAGTGTAACTACAACATAACTACGTTTGCTAAAATTATGTTTCTGAAGCAAAATTTCCTGCCACCTAGTGGATCTGAGTCCAATGCTCTTGCTTTCTTCTCAAGGCCACTTGAGTAGCATGTCACTGAGGTTGGGGAAAACAATGCGGGAGATCTTCAATTGTACTTGTCACTGACTGAGGTAGTTTTGCTGCCTGCCCATGATTTCTCGGCAGGAGTCCTCCCATCTCACTGACCAGCAGAGGCTCATTACGTGATATTGCTCTGTACACACCTGTAGATTTTTAGCCTTCATTTCCATCTGCTGATGCAGGTGAAAGAGTTTGGCAGCCTTCTGTCAATTAACCCCAGTAAATAAAGCCTCCTATTCTTTCAGGGTTTTACTTGGTCTTGCATTTCCTCTAGTTTGTACTTTTTTACCCCCCTTCTCAGTATAGCTGTACGCTTTGGAGAAGAGATTTAATTTACTAAAAATTTATTTAATTTTTTAGTTATCATTTGTGAATCCCTTACAAGCAGCCTGTGGATGGTAGGTAAACACAATTATTTGATTTAGTGCTTTTTTTTTTTGGTAATTTTTTTTTTTTTTTTCTTCTGTCAGTCAAGCAGAATCCTTTTGAACTTGCTAAACAGGAGCTATGCAAGCTACAGATTGCTTTTCAGTACATATTTGTACAGCATCCTCAGGACCTACAAAAAGACCTTTATTTTAAAGGTGTAAAATGATTGGGCTTTAGGTTGCCTTCAAGTAATTTTTTTTTCTTTTCTTCCAATGACAAAACAATGATAGGAAGATGAAAAACTGATTGTAATTGCTTTTTTTTTTTTTTTTTTTTTTTTTATGTTCTGTGACTTTTTAATGAATAAGATTTAAGAAGTATTTATTTAGGCTTTAGGAAATTGTCAGCTAGAATTATTTTGAAGTTTAATAATAAAAAAAATAGATAATTTATTACTTTATTATTATTATTATTATTATAGTATAGTGTCTTTAACAACCAAGTGTGGACATTCAGAAAGAACACACCCCATAATCTCTTGTTAAACTTTCTCATCTCCCAAGCCAAATCCCATGTAGCAAATAAACTTAATGTGAATAACAAACAGTGGGAAAAAAAAATACTTGTAAAACCGAAATATTTTGGACCTTTTAGCTGAGTAAAATATTTAAGACAAATTTTAAATTATCTTTCACAGGTTGCTGGAAGGAACGTTCAGCAGCATTAGGTCTCAGTGAAGATTTGGGATTTAAATAACAATATAAACCGTAATCTCTGAGGCAAGAAGAGATGTATATTTCTTAAAAGGGAATAAAAAAATCAATAGCTGATAAGGAGGAAGAACCTTTTGCATTCTGTTTATTGATTGTCATTTGACGGAAACACTCAATAAACCTTATTTAGTGAATAAGCACAAACATGGCTCGGAATACTTTTCCTCTTACAGCGTATCTTAATTTTTTTCTGTCCTGATGTGGTTGCTGAGTAGTCAATGTTAGAGACATTATCTGCCAATTATATTGTACATGTGCAAGCACATTGCAAAGTGTATTGAATTATGCTTTCATAGAACGCTGTTATGAGTAGAGAGCTGAAATCAGCTACAAGGTTTTATATCAAGCCTGAAGGTTTCAGTGTTTTATAAATATATGTATGTATGTATATGAGTGTTCATAGTAAATATTTGAATGGGCAGTTTTCAAGAGGATAAAAGAACCTGTAACATGAAAGATTTATGTATCACCTTCAAATTTACAGTACATGGTGAGATTCAATTTAACCAAAAGCAAATTTTATTTTAGGTCACTTGAGCATGTTCCTGGATAGGCTGTGGCAAGCCAAGCTCTGCTGAACCTAGGATTAATTTTACAGGTAAGGAAAATCTGTACAGTGTACTGCTAGGTTAAGAATTTCAGGAGAAAGCATGTATAATAATGAAATACTCATGACAATTTTTTTTCATTAAAATCATTTTTTATTTTTTTCCTCATTATCCTTATGCTTTAGAGAATAGTATAGTCATGACATGATCTATTGAGCAGAGATTATGGGAGACAGCTTTCTACTTATCTAAGTCAACCCATTAGAAGAAAAATATAGCTAAAATTTGAGCTTTCTAATCTTTGTATTCTAAAAGGTGTCATTCTCAGCTTGTCATCTAAGAACTCCAGTAAACTAAGACTTACTGATTGGAATTTCAGAGACATTTAGTTTTAAAGGATTTATCTCTTTTTGTTTGTTTGTTTTTGTTTTTCTCTGCTGTTTTGAAGAGAACTAAGGGGTGAGATAAAATGTCATATGCATGATTTCCGAAGGCAGATAGTGGCTGAAGTATAAAATGTCAATCATTCATGAGAAGTAAATGGCTATATTTAGGCTCAAATCCGACTTTTGGGTCTATCTGTGACCACAGTGAAGCACTAGCAACAGTTACAGCTCAAGTCTAACTCTCTGGGAAAATTCTAATTCCGATCAGATTATAGCAAAAAACTATAGCAGAAAGTGCATTGATGTGTAGGGTTTTTCAGGTTTAATATGAAGTTCTTCATTACTTTTAGCAAAATTCCTTTAGAATTTAACCAAATAGGAAATAGGGTATGAGGAGGAATCATGGAAAAATATACTCCCTCCTTGTATTGAGAAAAGATGTACTAAGGAAGAGAAACAATACAGAAGACTTTGTAAGTGACTCCTGGCTATAGGTCTTTGTCAGATTTCCCCTCAGTTTCAGAGAAAGCTTTCCAAAGAATGATTTAAAAATATTTTAGAAAAAAAAATAAATTGTGATATATGTAAAATGACTAAGAATGTTATTTAGCTAACAGAAATTTCATTTTGATCCTTTTCAGTTATTTTGCCCCGTGCCTTAAAAATACAGCTGTGTAATATTTTATTTTATTTTTTTAAATAACAATTCCTTGATGAAAGCTATGTAAGTGCAGAAAACACACTGTTATATTTTAATGACTGGAACTTGGGGATGTAAATCTTTGACTTAGCTGAATGTTAGGATGTGCAGACTGTGCTGCACAGCAGGCCAATAGCGAAGGTGGTGTTTGCGGAACTGTCTACCAGTAGTGGACACGTGCACATACATAGTTATTGGCTGGGGCTTCTTGGGATGACGGGACTTTCTGGGTTTTGTTTCTGTCATTATAAAATGCTGCGTCGACTTCATGTATGCTGTCTAGGCTACAACCACCGCTTTCAGTGAAACTGGGTGGGAACAACCTATGTTGTCGTCTTTCAAAAGAGACAGTGTTTATCTGGACTAAAATTATTGGGTGTGGGAGGAAGGGAAGGTCCATCTGTTTGTAAATTATCAAAACTTGTTTAGTTCTCCTTCCCTAATATAACAAAGATTGGCTTGGCATTAACTTGGTATATGAAATCTGCTACTGTCAACTTGGTTTCTGTTAGGAGTTCAGGAAACTTTAGGTAGATTTGCAACAAGCGAAGCTTAAATAACTTGGCTTTAACTTTCAGTTTACTTTTTAAAAATAATAAAAGTAAAAAAAAAAAAGTTTGGAAACCTGTGGCTAAAATGTAAATACAGAACATTGATTTAAATGTGTATATATGTTTTTCTAGAGAGAGAGAGACTGGCTTGCAAAGTTTTTTTGGTTTGGTTTGGTTTTGTTTTTCCTCTGTAATTCGTCTATAAACACAATTCTGATATTTGTAGTAAAGTAAAACAGCAGAAGGAATTAGTATTGCTCTCAGAGGACCTCAAATCATTTTGATGTAGATCAGAGAGTAAAACCTTGTGGAGTAGATTGTATGTAAACAAGATTCATGCAGTAAGCAGCATAATACAAATAGTATTCTGTTTTAAAAACTGTATCTAGGATCCTGGCAGATGAATATGGGAGTTCACTGATTATGTTAATAAACTGAACTGGACAATGCGGAGAGGTGACTGTGAGGAGCTGATACCACAGGCGGGCATTCTGAAGTGAATAGAAACAGTAGTTAACTTTTACAAGACGAGAAGGCTTCGATTGAAGTAGAAAGGAGATGATAAGCACTGGATGCACCACCTTCAGAAGGATGTTAGTTTAGCCACTTGGAAATGAACTGTAAAGCAATTCAGTAGTGTCCCTGAGCTCAGACCACACTCTGATTTAAGAAACAGCTGCATCTAACTGACCTAGTAATTTGTGTCTTTAAAGCCAAATATTTGGGTTTCCCTTCCTAGGCAGATGCTCCAGATGTTCATTTAACCTTTCCTGCAAGTATTTATGACGTATTTTATTCATAAAAATGCTGTTTGATGCTATGGGTTTGCACAGTCAGTCATGCATGTCAACTAAGCTTCACATAGCTTGTTCAGTTTGTTTATGCAATTTTAACATTGCCTTATAACAGATGTTATTTTGATAACTGTATTGTTTGATACACCTGAAATGTACCAAGAGCAGCTGAGTGCATCCATGCCAGTAGCTATTATCATATGTATATGGCTCCCTTTCTTTCAATAGTATCATTTATGTCTCCTGTACGAGAATAGCATGGAAGAACTTGAACCAAAATAACCTCTGCAATAAAAATAAAACTGGGAGTAAATTGGGCCCAGTGTAGTCCTCACATCAGTCTGAATTAGGAGAACCTTTCTATTTTAAAACTATGAAGGTTTGAATTTGAAAACAGGATAAAAATTAAGACTGAGCTAAGCTAAACAACCAAAGGTATTCTTACTTATCTGGTAAGGACAATTTGACTGTGAACTGCATCTGGTTTGGAGCTAGTTGAAATCCTGGATTTCAAGGAAATGTTTGAATGCTGTGGCCCCCCCCTTGCAAGCAGAGCCTCTGATCATGAAACAAGATGCATTCAGTCCTCAAGTACAAGAGTTCTGGTCTATCCAGGTACCTAATATTTCAATTGCTGTCATAATCATCTCTAATCACATTAGACGTCTCAGACATAGCAAAAAAAATAAGACAGAGATCATCTCCAAGGTACGTTAAGCATTGCTTTGGTTTCTGTTTTTTTCCCCTCAATGTTTAGTAACTACAAATACGTTAAATTATAAGACCTCATCTTACCGTAAACTTGATAGTTGCTTTGAGCCAGCATTACTAGAAGGATATAGGGTAAGATACTTTTTATCAGCGTGACTGGAGACTTCATTCTCTGGGCATGGTAGATGAGAGGTTCCTGTAGGTTTAAAAAATGCAGTTCAGATGGCCCCCTTGCATCCTGTTAGGTTTGAGCTGATTCCCTTTTCTAGCTCTTCTGTCAAGACAGTGCAGAAGAAAGGGGTGGGGAAGCAATATAGTATGCAAAAATCTGATGGGTTAGGCGGTAGGGTTTTTTTTTTTGTGGCTGACACTGTGAACTGCTTGATCATTTCACAACATATCAGAAGTGATCTGCAATTCAAGGCAAAGCATCTTAGACTGTATGCAGAGCCAGAGAAGGGCTGAAACAAATAGAGCCAGTGATTTTTAGTTTTAAAAGATACTCTGCACTTGAGACTTCGATTTTGCAAGCAACAATATACCAGAAGTAGAGTATGCATGGTAGTATATTAAACTCGTTCAGTCTTTGTGTATTACTCTAATTCAATCTTAGTTTGATAAAAGATCATCAAATGAGGAAGCTGAGCTGTTAGATGTCAGAACCAGATGTCTGAATGGTTTTAATTTATATAAATTTATGATAGCCTACACTATGAGAGATTGAGTCAACTATTTCCAAGCCTTAGCATGCTCATGATGTTAAAGCCAAGTAACGGGGGTTTGGATTTTGTGTGCTCTTTTTCAGCACTCCACACTTTTCTCTCTAAATATTTATAAAACATCTGAAACTTCTCAAAAATTTTACGTAATGCGGAGGTTCTTCATAATGTTAGAAGCAAACAAAGGTTGAACAGGAATGTCACATACAGCAATTGGAATGCTTCGTGAATTTGTGTGTCATCCTTGTGCAGGGGCCATGCTAATCTTCTCTGTATCATTCCAGTTTTAGTGTATGTGCTGCCAAAGCGAGAACCACTTCTGCTTATAATGCAAATACAACCACAAATAGAAACCAGGGAAGAAAATACTGCAGTTTTAAAATCCTACATTAACATAAATGTTTGTTAGAACATAGTATATGTATTTATGTGATATTTTGGAGGAAATAATCTCCAAAATTTCCAAGTTATAAGTGCCTGGTCCAGTCCATGATGTTCATGAGAATCATACTGATGACCGTGAGGAAATAGCCTTACAAATATTGCAAACAGGTGTAACTGAAAAATCTTTACGAAAAAAAAAAAATGGAGTGTAACTCCGCCCACACAGCAGGAGTCCACTGAAGAGAAAAACACTAGTAATGCAGATCACAGTTCTGAATAGTGAAGACATCTAGTGGCTGAATCCATAGCCAGCTTGGACAGCAGAATTGGTCATTAAGGGATGTGTTTCTGTCAGTGTAATTTCTGGTTGTCTTAATGCTGAGTTAGGGCAAATGTTTGCCAGGAATTTCATGTCAGTAGTTGATATCTAATATTTGCTTTCTCATTAGAAAGATTAAATTTTAATCAGGGAGCAAAACAATCAGGTAAAATAATCACTCAAAAATAGGCAAATAATGCTTAAATTTCAAGTTTGTTCCTCCTGTTTTGATGAGAACCAGGAAAGACCTTGAGGGACGGGGAAGGAGATTCATTACTATGGTTCAGATCCTTATCTTGATAAATAGCCCTAGGGCATTTCTAATTTTATTTTATTTATTTATTTTTTGACCCTTGTAATCTTTTTGGAGTTTTAACCCTAGCTTTAGGTAACTCATGCTTGTGGTTTGATCCCTATTTATGCTATTAAACGTTTGAGGGGCTTCCTCAACTTCCTGCAGAAAGTGGGAGGGTAATGTGAAGGGAAAATTGGTAACTGGCTTGGGCTGAGACTTTTGCTACTGACTTGTTTTTCAAAAAGGCAAGGCTTTGTCTGTTCTCTAGGGTGTTTTGAGATTAGATCTCGATATGGATAATTCCTTGTTTGTTCAGAAATGTAAGATGCACGCTCCTGTAGAATATCCCATGTTGGAAGGGACACCCACAAGGACCTTTGAGTCCCACAACTTGGTCTCCAAAGGACCACCCAAAAATCAGACCATGTGTCTGGGAACATTGCCCAAACCTCGCAGGAGAGGTGAAGATGGTCTCAACTGCAGAAAGGAGCACGTGTTTCCTGTACCATATGTAGGTAATTTATGAGAATTTGTCACTTTGTATTATTAATAGTAAATATCTTAGGCACTCATCTATGTTTTTGGAGCCCTTTTCTTGAAAATACTTTGGCAAACGTGACTTCTATTATCGCTGCTTACATTGCATTATTATTTTTTATTTCCTTTCTGTTGAACAGTAGGGTTGTTTTTTTTTTTTTTGGTGTTGTTATTGAGATTCTGCCGAAAGATGTCAAAGAACTTGATTTTTATCATATTTCTTGTTAAGACTTTCTTACCTCCTTGAGACATTCCTGGAAGCTTTTTTTTTTTTTTTTTTTTTTAATGGCAACAAGTTAGAAATAATATTTTTAAAATATATATTTAAAAAGTAATTTATATTCAAATTTTTAAAATAGTCCCTTAATTTGAGGCACTACAGTACCAAGTTCTGCTTTAAGCACATTTCAGAGATTTTGCTGTATGTAAAACACTTTGCTAAGCAAATATAACTGTAACTTAAACATAAAAATATATATTAAAAAAATATATATACTATAGATATAAAAATGTAAGGTAACTATTTACAAAAGAAAGGCAAGGACAGTCCTAATCTGACACTGTAACAAGGAGAGGGAGGTAGCTTATGTGTTTAATTTAAGACACGATTGTTTGAAGATGGATGAAAAAAATGTCACTAGATGGCACTGACTTCCACTGTGTGGTAACTTTGCTATATGCAAATCAGACCTCAGCTGAATCCTAGCAGATACCACGTCTTTCAAGAAGGAAGATATTTCAGTGCAATACAAATGCAACAATTGGCACAGTTGTGTGTGCGCTGAACACTTTTGTCAGAAGGGTTTCCAAGAATACAGAGTCAAGTTTGGAAAGTCTTAACATCTGAGGATTGCTGTTAACAGCAACTTTCTTCACCTGATTCAGTCCACTTGGTTGTGTCTGTTTCTTCTTTATTGTACATAAACGGGGGGAAAATACCTCAGTTTTCCTTCTGTCAAGACAGTTTGAGTTCTGGGTTTGTTTTCTCCCTTTTTCCAGGTAGTTAGGCATTGGCCTCTGATCACCTACATGGCATTTAGATAGTGGCCTCCAGTAAGTCTGCTGAAAATTACCTTCATAACACTATATGAAGAAGTTTTAGTATCTTCAAGAAATGAAATAATTTAGTCTCTCAGCAAACTTTTTCCATCCAGCTACTTGTTTGTTGCTAATGATATGCAGCTCGCAGTACATGTCTCTGCAGCCTGTTCCCATCTCGTATTACTGCAACTCACTGCTAAACGAGGGATCGGTTACTTCTTTTCTTTACCAGCTTCTCCCTTTATCATAGTGAGGCTTTCTGCATCTCCCTGCTCTTCCTGAGCAATTTCAGTTTAAGCAGATGAGCTAGGTTTCAATAAATTGGCATGTGTGTATCTTGGGTCAGGTTCTACAGTGCAGGCTGAGCAAGGGCCTGTTGGCTTTTGGCAAGGGGTGTCAGCTCTTTGTTCAATAAAGTGAAGGTTAAGAAACTGCTCAAGGTTTTGTTGTATGTAAAACGCCTCAATAAGGGTAAGCGTGGGTATTCCAGCTATTGGATGCATTTTATGGTAATGACAGGTTTCAGAAATAAGGGGAGAGAGGAAGCAATTTAAGGCTAATTATGAAAGAATTAAAGTAAGGAGGTCTCATTTACTGAAATATTTACTGTAGTGAAATCTAATACTGAATATGGGAGCTGTTTTGTACACTGAAGGACAGATTAAAAAAACCTCTTGAGGCAAGCAGTATATAAAGAAACCCTAACAGCCTCTAAAGGTCCCAATTATTTTTTTCTCCGGCTTTGAACAGAAATGCTGAACGACACTCTCTCTCCCCTGCATTGGTATAAGATACTTATTGGTTAACTGAAAAACAAAATTCCTTATTTTCCTCAGGAACATAGTGGTTCTTATGGAAGGGAAAGATCAGATCAAGTATCCACTGAGTGATGGTAGGAACTGCCTAATGAATGTGTGCTGTTATTTTAGTGCATGGAGCACATGATAATACAAGAGTACTGGTTGCTTCACTGCACTTAATTAGCCCTCTGATCTTACATCCTGTCCCTACCTGTGCAGTACTGAGCTGGAGAAGACACAGTGAGTACCGATATACATCTAAATTAGGAATTTAAATTGCTTGGGTCATTTGGCTCAGCTGATGACAGGCTTTATGGACCAGCTGAAACCAGTAGTCTTCCTTATGGCCTCCTCCAGCTCTAGCTGAGATCTTCTATTAAGATGGATGTTCTTTTGCAAGACTAAATCTTTTTTTTTTTTTTCTGAAACTGAAAGTGAGCATTGAGTTGGGACACTCAAAAGCTCATCTCAAAGGTAGAAGAGGCCAAAATGGGTATTTGGTAATTGTTTATAATTTCTATTTTATACTGAGTTTTCTATTTTGTACTTAATACAATTCTATTTTGTACTTGATCTGTAACACTTAGGATTGGTCTTGAGGCTGCCCTCTGACAAGCCTGAGTGACAGCTGCAGCTCTCTATCCCATCTGAGTCTGCACCTTGTGCTTGTGAGATGTGGTAGCCCCTGCTTTTGAATACGAAAGTAGTGTCCTTACCACTGGAGGACCCATAAATTCCAAACCAGTTGTAGACAGAGAGAAGTTGTGGGATGGGCAGAAAAAAATCCTTACCTGACTTAAGCAGAACTTCCATAGACTGTCTATCCTCTAGTCTCTGCTGTCCAGTCTATGTAAATGACAAATGCCCAACCTAATTAACAGTAGAAATGTGGCCTGAAAGCAATTATTGTTTACGTAGTCCTACTGCATCTTGGATATGGGTTAAACCATGTGATTCACTTAGGAAAGTAAACTGTCATCATAAGAATTTAGCAAGGCTGAGTTAGCAAACTCTAGATGCATGCCTCACCTGATTCTGCAGCAGCTTCCACACGCGTTGTTACCGATGCATTGATTCAGCAACTATACGTAACCTTCTTTCAAAGAGGAATTACCCATGCAAGAAAACTTTACGAAAGGGTATGTTTACTTCTCTTGTGCTTTTCCATGTGGTATAAGG